AATTATCGTTTGCATTTTGGAAATTTTTACTTGCTTAGGAAAATATATTTACAATTCCATATCTGCAAATGGTCGGGGCAAGATGCATCAATTTAAGGGAAAGATCTGTTAGAAATTTAATAATTCATCTTTTCAGAGATAGCAAAAGTGTTTGAAATATCTAAAAAAAATCTTTGATATAAAGCATTCAGCTGTCTTGAACATAATAAAACAATGGGAATTGTGGGGATCTGTTGAAAATGCACTGAAGTCTGGACCACATTTCTAGCTAACAATGAGGCATCACCAATTTATTCTATAAAAAATCAATCAAGACCCATAAATTAGTGCTTTTAAAACATTCAACAGATTTCGAGGAACGGTTTGTGATAAAAGTTAACTTTTTAGTATTTAGAAGAGTTATTTAGGACATGGATACAATGGGCAATCAACAAGAAAGAAATTTTTCCTCAGCAAGAAAGCAAGGGGAAATATGTCTGGCATTTGCAAAATCTATGGCAGGTGTGGCTAGACCTCATGTCAGTAAGAAATGCATGTTGGAATTCGGGAAAGTTCTAGAACTGCAACTAAATTTTCCAAAAGCCATGAGTCCATATTTACATCATTTTAAGAGTAGTGAAACAGGTTTCAAATGGGAAAAAACATCTGACAACTTTGTGAAACAAAATCTATAAATTACTTACTTTCTTTTGGACATTGAGTAGTTTTAGTTTACAATATTTCATCTATATATTTAGTTTGCATAACAGCCATGCCACTCAGCTGGGAGCCACTCTGTGGCCACCCCTGACTATAGTAAGTAAAGTTTGAACACATTGGAATAATGTGATATTTTGCAGTCAAAATTTGCATACAAGTCAAAATTACACATAAGTTAAAATTTACACATATTTAGGTCTGAGAGACAAATTAATACATAGCAAAGTGTGAATTAAGAACTGAGTTAATAATAAACCTATTGCATAATGTCATGCATTCATGAGGGTAGAGGCTTAATAGTTTGGCAATATTTGGAAATTTAGTTTTATCAAAAATAATGTGGATCAGTATAAATGTATAAATATTTAATACACTTCTGTTATTGAGACCAAATTCCAAAATGTGTGCATATTATGCACATATGTATATATGTGTGAATGTATGCACACACATACATACATGCATACATATATATACACATGCATACACGAACACATTTACATGCATTTCTTAATTTGGTCCTGATAACAGAAGACTACCGAATATTATTTTTACGAAAATTTGAAAATATCTGCAGGAAAATTCGGAATGCAGAATACATTTAAATTCTATCAGGATAACAAGCCTAAACATATAACTCTAAATGTTAGCTTCTAATAATTATACAACTGTCTTGAAGTTATCAAAACTTTTCGATATATGGAGATGCATACTTCTCATTGTATGGAGTGAGTTGGAGAAAAGAAAAGGAAACATGATACTTCGAAAGCTCTACTAAAAGCACTTCTTGCATAAGAATAGAATGATCTTACATGAAAAAATTAGTTGAATCCATGCAAAACACATGAAAAGCGTAATTAAAGCTAAAGGATGTCCAATGAAATTTTGAATGTCTTGTTATTTTCATGTTTTTATTAAATATAAAATATTTATTCAAGGTATCCAAATATTTACATGAGCTCATTTTCAGAACCTTTTGAAGAAATTGTTTTTTTAACCAAAAATGTTTTGAAAACTTTTTTCTAAATGATGAGGTTTTAAAATAGATGATTAACCCTTTGACGCACGCTATATTATTTTAAAAATTTTTTTAACTAAAAACACTAGAAATCAAATATTATGATCCTAGAGACAAATAATATATGAATTAAAAAAAATCTACTCCCGCCCATTAATCTGTGGGTGGTGGTTTCGCTGTGAAACCAGCGCGCTTCTAGGACTTACCTTTTTCCGTACGCATTTCCAATGAATGACGAAATTTGCGAATAAAAAAAAAAAAAAAAAAAAAAACTGCATTTAAAAATTGCATCAAATATAAATTTTTTACTTTATTTTACAAAGTATATCATTAGAAAAAAATTATAATTTATGTAATTTTTCTGCAGCAGTGAACACATAAGAATGTACATAATAAAGAAATTGGGATAAATAGGTAAAAAAACTCAATAGAATATTAAAAAGCTCAGTAATTTTTTTTAATGTCAAAGATTTAAGTTATATTTTATGGAACTGTTCAAAGCATGTTTTATCTTTTTGGTACATGCACAAGCCAACACTGAACGATTTCACTACATTCTGCATTTTATTCCATGTTACATCTGCAATTCTGGAAGGACCTTGTAAATTTATATCATCATTTTCTGACTCATCATCACTTTCATCTTCTATATTTCTATAAGCAGGAGGGAAGGGGGGTAAAGGAGTATTTCCTTCTCCTTCACTTTCATCCTCAGAGACCACTGATTCTGGATCTGAAGGTAATTCTTCAATTAACGCTAATGCATCAGCTATTTCTAACCCTTTGCGAGGCATTTTGAATCTCAACAGTAGAAAATAAAATATTGGCAAAATATTTTAAATTTAATTAAATTTTTGCGCGATTTCTATTTTTAATTATTCAAAAATATATTTGCAATTTTTTGGAACCACACAAAATAATTTAGAAAATCACAGTAATGTTGAAATCAGAGAAAAATGTGTGGAAATGAAAAATATTTTATGGGGGCAAGTGCATGTATTGTTTGGTAATACAATAACTCTGTGATTTCAAAACCCCTAATCTATATTCAGGTGAAAATAAACACTTCAATTTCAAAGCAGCAAACATTACTATAAAGAGCAGTGGTTTCAGGGCGCGACCACCGAGCCTCTAGGGGGGAATGTGAGCATTGTAACGCAATGCTCTAGTGGGGCAGTGGTCTTTGTCTTTGTTTTTTGGGGCAGTGGTCTTTATGTCTGAAACCACAAAAGGAAATACCATAAATATACACAGGTTGTTTATATATGCAGTTTAATTATTGCTGTATTTTTTTTTTTATTGTTTATGATAGAAATAATTATGTGTGATAAAAAAATTTTTAATTTTAAGTTATTAATATAAATAAAAGGTAGTTATTTTTTCTCACTGAAAATGAATTTTAAAAGGCATCCAATTTAAAATACTAAGACCTAAAAAATGTATAGTTCTGCAGTAATTTTGCGTTATTTAGAGGTAATAGATAAGTAATCAATCGGTTTTCACTCAAACAGTTTGGAAACAAGAGCGGGAAAAATTTTGAAAATTGGTGGTTTCAGGGCGCGACCACTGCCCCTCAAAGGGTTAATAGTGTATGTGAAAGAAAAATAAAGTCATTTTGCTAATATATAATAACTGATATTTGTAAATAAAACTGAAAAAACACAAGTGTTTGAAAACAAATATGTGCCACTACATATTTTGCTATTTAAGTATTCATATCTACTATTTAATGAAACTTACAATAATTTAACAGTCACAAAGACATAAATGGAGAAGTTAGTAAAATTCTGTAAATGAATACTTGAGAAACATTTAGAATATGAAATAAATATATATACATATCTCGAAAGTGTATTTATTTTTACTGAATGCAATTAAAGAACAAGCCAAAATTTCTTCTTTGCAATGATAATTATAGATTAATATATAAAGGAATCACCTTCCTTTAGGGAGAACAATCTTCAGTGCTGTTTGCTGTTTTGCAAGGTATTAAGATGTTTGATCTGCAGCATCAAGTTTTGATTGATAATATCAGCACTAAGCTGTAAGCGTAATCTGAATTAAGTAGACAGCACTGCACTATCAATGATGCATGATTATGCCATTGATGGTGCAGTGCTGTCTACTTTTTCTCTGTCACTAATTTTATTAATTTTTTCGTGTGTTACTTCATTAGTGTTTTTTTTTTTTTTTTTTTTTTTTTTTTTTTTTTCTGTCTGATTACCTATCTACGATTTTAAGCATTTCATCAAAATTGGCAAAGGTATTGGTAAAGCTTAAGTAGTAATTAACAGTGGCAGACCAGGTTCTAAAATATTCAAGTTTATTATTACATTAGCACAAGGACGTTCATTTTTCATTAAACATGGCATTCAACAATAAACATTTATAATTCTAGAAATATGGGGAAATTTTTCCATTCCAAATGGGATATTTTGTCTTCTACTCTTTCAAATAACTGACAATTTCCTCCGTCACAGAAGTACAATTAAAGGAAAAGAATTTAAAATTATATTTTCTTTATATTTTGAAAAAATTAGGTCCTTTTTTTTTTTTGTTAAATGTTAGTCATATATAGCATGGCCATGTACTATCAATTATACAAATTCTTACAATAAAGATTATTTTTTTCAGCGTGTGAAAATTACTGATAAACCATTACTTGTAAGTTTTATAAATTGAAGCTATCCTTTGATCTCTTTTGATTAAATTTTTGACTGTATGTCTACGCTATAAAATACTGAAAATAATTGGTTGGTTTTCTTTTGAAATAAAAGTAAATATTCTTATTGAAACAAAATCGTACATAATATGATTTTCTTTTACTGTAAAAAACTTAAGCATTTTTATTGTAAGACATTTTTAAGACTTGAAAATATTCAATTAGTGAAATATATCGAATAACACCTTGTAACATTAGGTTTCCATATACCTCAGATGTTAAGAGAATTTGTTTTAGTAGTAAGAAATTTGTCTTAAGTAGATGTTGCATTAAGGAAAATAAGCTTTATGAGTTAAGAGTTGAACTAGGTAGAAGAAATGCATTAGAAATAGGTTGTTTTTTTTTTTTTTTTTTTTCTTTTGATATTTTGAAAATTAAAATTTTTTTTTCTATCAGATGTCTGTTTGAAAATGTATTGTGCTACATCTTTTTATCCTGAGCTCTAATTGTTTAAGTAATTTATATTGCTCCTGTCCTACCATTGCTCTAATCAGCATCAATTACTTTTACATAAGTATTACTTTTTAAAATTTTATTTTATTTATTTATTTTTAATTTTAGAGAAAACAGAAAATGTTTAACTTAAGTGCACAGGCAAGATCATGGATGTTCAAAAGCAGTACTGAATTAGCAAAAAGTAGGGAAAATGCCAATAGGAAATTTATCCAAGAAAATTCAAATGGAGTAAGTGTTAATGATTTTGTTTAATATGTTTCTATTATATGATTCTTTTAAATATTATATATATTTATTCAGAGATAAAAAAATATTGAATATTTTTATGAAATTATTGTTTAATTTTGATTTGAATCTGCTAATGCTGTTATTTTACTCTCCTAGTAATTATTTATTTGATATTCATACAAATAATTAATTTTAATAATCAATTAATATGTTTAATATTTTTCAGTGTTTAATTGTGTTATAATATGTTGAGTGATTCTTTTATTACATAATTATATTGCTAATTACTTTTTTTAATATGCTGCCATTTTAAAAATTAAGTATTCTCTTAGTATTAGAAATGTAGAGCTTCCTTAAATTAATAGAAAATTTATATGAGATATGTTGAGTGTGTTTTAAGGGAAAGTAAAAATGTTTATAACATTATCAGAGCACAGTACAAAGTCTTTAATCTGGACTCGTCGGGACTTCAGCGATTCCGGATTATGGGATTTTTTGGATTATAGATCATCAATTTAAATCTAGTAAGATGGCATGCAGAAATTATAAAATTAAAAATATGAAACCGTAATTTATGAAATAAAGAGGAATTATAATCTAAAGTGTATCAAAATTTACAAAAAAAAAAAAAGCTTAATATTTATTTGTTTACTTTATTAAACATTTCTTTCAAGTAAGTTGTTTAAGTTGCTTTGTTTTTTGTGCTAATACTTTCTCTTTAATTCTATAAACAGACATAATTTCTTGTTCAGTTCCACTGTTCAAGTCCTATAATTGCTGTGTCGAGAATACCGACTAACTTGTCAATTGAAATTTTTTTGTTTTCAATAACCTCTCTTTCACTATCGGAAGCGGTACATCGAAACAAGCTTTCGCTTTGCACAGATCCTTTGGCAGCTCCAGAATCGGAAACTCTTTTTGATATAATCGAAAGTTCAAGCTTACTTTTTATAAAATTGCTCTAACAGTCTGCAAAAAATAATAAGCCAGATCCTATTAGAAGATTAAGGAACAATGCAATCTGCAACATTAACTGAAATAGATAATTTTAGTTTAGCTTATATTGTCGTTATACATTAAACGCGAATGCGTAAACGTATTATCCGCATGTGTAAATGCATATGCGCAAGCGTAATGGTATTATGCACATGCGTATTATGCATCATACCTATCGTATGATGCATGCATATTATGCATAATACCACATGCGTATTATGCATAATACCTACCTTTATGCATTATTTACGCCTTAAAGGTATTTACGCATAATGCGTAAAACGCATGCGCAGAAAGTTTGTAGCTTTGAGGTACGGATCATAGATCATTCCAGATTATGGACATCCATATTAAAGACTTTGTACTGTAATTTAAAATTTTCGCTCTATATTATTAAACAATATTTCTTTTTTTTACTTCCTTGTACGAAGTGAAGGAAGTATTGTAATCGTGAAAATTTTCGAAATATGATTATTTCAATGAAAATATCCATTTTGACCGCTATTGAATGAAATTTAACGATGTTTTTGTGTGACATCTGCACGTAAGGACAGAATAAAGGACTCTTTTTCCCAAAGCGGGTTACAAAAAGGATTTAAAATTGATTCCGAAAAGATTTATTCATGGCATCTCTATGTAGGTATGTCTATATGTATCTCACATAACTCAAAAACGAGTAGTCTCGGAATGTTGAAATTTTGTATATAGTACTAGCATAACAAGTAGTTGTGCATCTCCCTTTTTGATTGCAATAGGCTGCAACAAAAGCATATCTATCTCTCTCTATATATATATATGTACAAGGTTGCCATGCTCCCTAGAAAACTGGAAAAAATCAGAGCATTCAAAAGTTGACCAAAAAAGGTCAGGGAATTTAAATATTTAAATTAAAATCTGGAAAAATCGAGGAATTTCATATGGCGATCCAAAAATAAGCGAGATTTTCACCAGCGTTGGAAGCAATCTCTTTCTTGGTGATTTATGTTTCAAATGTGCATCATTCAAGCAGATGGCATGGAGCCAGTTTCTCCAGCTCCAATCAGATTATCTTTTAGAAAGGCAAAGCAAGTTTCCAGCAACTTTGGTTTGCTGTAACCTCAAGAATGGAGAGACTTGCATATGCATCTGCAGTGCATGTTGAACTAAAGAACATACCTTCCCATTCTTGTATAAAACAAAATTGATTTAATCCTAGTACATGGTACACATGGAATTTGGTGACATTATGAGGAGCAGTAAACAGGTCATTTTGTGTTGGCAACAATTTTCAAAATTGTGCCAAGGCCGTAGCGTATACTAGGATTTTACCGCAAAATCTTTTAGTTTTTTTTATTATTATTATTATTATTATTTATTAAATAAACACCTTATTTGTCATTTTGCAATAAAATAAAAAAAATAGTTATAAGTCATCTAGGCTTACCATTTAATATATCTGTATTAAAAAAAATATTATTGATTATTGTAATTCAGTTTTTAATCTTTAAATAATTAACTTTAATTTGATGTTATTTGTATCATTTAATGTGGCTTTTAATGTTCCAATGCCAATGCCATAAATGCCTGTTTGAGAGCCGGTGCAGTTTGGGTGATAATGGTAATGGCATCAGCATAAGCCAATATTTGAACTGAGTAAAGATATTTCCTCTAATATTGATCTTTGAGTCTCTAATAACTTTTTCGAGTGCTATGTTAAACAGGAGGCATCCCAATGCATCTCCTTGTCACACTCCATTTTTTTACCTCAAGCTGTTCTGTGTAATCATCCTCTATGTGTACTTGAATAATGGTTTCTTTGAGAATCAAAGCTACAAGTGCAACAAGTTTTTCTGTAATTTTCAATTCATGCTTAGCTTTTATGAGGTGTTCTCTGTTAATACAGTCATATGCTGTTGTTCTAAAATTGATAAAAAGATTGTGAGTTTCTTCCAAATTCTCTACATTTTTTAAGAATCTGTTTTAAGTTAAAAATTTGCTCAGTTGTAGATCTGCCCTTCCTAAATCCACATTGACAGTCACCTATCAAGTTATCAACAATCAGCAGAAGTCTTTCAAAAAGAATAATAGACAGAATTTTATAGAATGTGCAAAGAAGACTGATTCCTCTATAATTACTACAGTCTAGGGCGTTGTCTTTTTTTGTGTACCTTGCAGATGGTACTAAGTTTTCATTCCGTTGAGAGTGTCTCACTCTTACGAATATGTTGAATTAATTCCTTTGTAAGCTGTACACAGTTAGGTCCCCATAACTTTTAAAAGTTCTGACAGCATATTGTCAGCTCCAAAAGATTTATTGTTTTAAAAGCACCACACCTTTCTCAAGTAATTTTGTCTTGAAAATAAATACCAACAAAATAAAATGAAAATATTTCATATTTGTGTAAGCTTTGTAAAACATTATACAGTCGCTTGTAATTTTGTTTTAGACTGATTGTATGGTATGAGATGTTAATTTCATAGAATAGGTTTAGGAAACAGGTGTTTAGCGAAGACGCTAAACTGTGCGAAGACCGGTCTCCTAGCAGTGATGTAGTAACTCAGTGCACAGGACTTATCTATCTCGATGGTGACGGCTAAACCCAGTAAAACCCATGGCTGAAAACTGAAAAATTGAGTAAGACCATCAAAATATTCATAGCTGAGTTTATTTTGTCCCCATTATAAACTAGTCATTCTAGGCTCATACATCAACATCGGCTGGAAGAAGATGCATAAATTTGTACTATTTATAATACGCAGTTTACTGCTTGCCACATTTTCATCGAATACTCAAATTTTAGTGCATTACATTGCAGTTTCAACCTTAAATCTTTGAGAGATTTACTTGGTAAAGATCCAAATTTTGATTTTTTTAAAGCATCTTAATGTTATTTCTGTTTACTGTTTAATTTAGTTTTTGTAGTTTGCTGTGAATTTTTAAACATGAATTTCGATTTTAATACATCCATCTTTTCAGTCTTTGCTTTTAGCTGTTTTTCAACTACAGTCTGGTTGCAAGTCGTTAATTCGGACACCCATAATCCGGAATGATCTATAATCCGGACCCCAAAGCTAAAATCTTTCTGCACATGCGCCGCGTTGACGCATGCTCATAGGCGTTTTACGCGTGCGCGCAAGACATTTACGACTGCGCATATGCGTCTGCGCAAGCGCAGAATACGTTTTCGCGTGCGCGTTTAATGTATAACGGACGGTATAAGCTAAAATTATCTAATTATCTATTTTAGTTAATGTTGATGATTGCGTTGTTCCTTAATCTTCGAATTGGATCCGGCTTATTATTTTTTGCAGGCTGTAAGAGCAATTTTATAAAAGTAAGCTTGAACTTTCAATTATGTCAAATAGAATTTCCGATGCTGGAGCTCCCAAAGGATCTAGAAAACGAAAGTATGTTTCGATGTCCATCAAACAAAAAACAAATTGCTACAAAAAATGGATAAATTTATATCCTTTGTTTATCTAACCGTTCCGAAATCTGTTTATCAATTTCACGCTACTCTGCGCATGGAGGGGGGGGACGTCGCGACGCGCAATGAACTGGAAGTTGATCTGTCAGCACTATCGTTATCTTCAGGGCAGATGTTTTTATTTTATTTGGCTTATAATTCCTTACTAAATGTAGTATTTAATCTCGATGTACTCCGTCTTTGATATGATTTAAATCAAATTCCTCGTCATTATAAATATCACGAATACAAATCAAATAGTTTTCTGGTTGCAATTTTCTAATTTCGGCTATGCGTAAGGTAGGCATGCGCGCGTTGAAAGAAATGTTTAATAAAGTAAACAAATAAATGTTAAGCTTCTTTTTTTTGTAAATTTTGATACCCTTTAGATCATAATTGCTCATTATTTTATAAATTACGGTTTCATATTTTTAATTTTATAATTTCTGCATGCCATCTTACCAGATTTAAACTGATGATCTATAATCTGGAAAAATCGATAATCCGGAATCGCCGAAGTCCCCGACGAGTCCGGATTAAAGACTTTTGACTGTATTATGATACTGCACAAGCTGATTTATATCAGCTTTACACATTTAAAAGGAGTCATCACCTTTACACATTCAAAAAATCTAATTTTATTTTTTTTTGCATATTTAGAAACTGAAAACATTTCTGAATCTGTTGCGATATTCGAATTAGATACTTAAAAATTATGCAATAAAGGAAACAATTCTGAGATAAATATTGCCAGATTGCACATTTAAATCATAACATGACATTTGTTTACAATTGTACGCACAGCTGCTCATGAATGTTCACTCATAGATTGCTTTAATTTTTACTGTTAACATCATGTATTTTGGTAAAATTGAATGTGTCCGACACATTCAGAAAAGAATGGCCACTAAATTACGAAAGAGAAAGTAAGAAATGAAGGGGAAGAAACTTAGTGACAGTAAAACTCTTAGTGGAAAAGGCCGCCTTACAGATGATATTATAAATCAATTGACAATTTATTATGGAAATGCTGCTAGAAAACATTGCAGTTCTGTAAAAGATATGCAGAAAGCAGTATGGGCAATATTTTGCCACAAATGTTCAATCAACGTGGAACCTACTCACAATTTTTGCCCAACAGGAGAGGATTCGTGGTGTACATACCAAACAGCGAGTGCGGGTGGAAATCTGAAATCGTACAAACATAAAAATTCAATTCCACCATCTGTAATGGATGCTATCAAAGGTATATTTAAAGATATTAGCATGCCATTATTACTAAAAAATTGTTTAGGATGACATGCACAGAACTCAATCATTGAATGCTTTGATTTGGCAATTGTTTCCTAAAAATTTCCGGTGTGATTATAATATTGTTAAGACAGCAGTGAATGAGGCAGTTATTATACATAACAATGGACAAGCTGTGCGATTACATAATATGAATAAAGTTGGATACCGAATTGATGATAATGCAATCAAGTTTGCAGCAGACACTGATCAACGTCGTATTCAGTCAGCCGAAATAAGGCAGAGATGTCTGACAATAGATGCTCGCAGAGCAAGAAAAAGAGCCAAACTTGTTGCAATAACAGCTATTGAAGAACAGGAGGGTATGGTGTATGCAGCTTGGCAGTTTTAAATGTTTTAGTGTTTTTGAGAGAAAATATATTGAAAATTTGAACTTTTAACTTTAAACCATTTTCTCAAAATGGTGATTTCTACTTGCACGCACTCTTTAAAAAAATCTATCATAGCTATTGATTAAAAATTCAGGGTACTTACATGATGATATTGCTGAAAAAATGCACCCTACCTTTTTATTCGAAAAAATTATTTTTAAGTATTTATATAACTTTACGTAAATTTTTTTAATGCTTTTTCTGTTTTCTAAGATCTTATTCTAACAGTGTTAATATTCTTTGATATTTTAAAATTTAAATAGGTGAAGAATCATACCTAATGATGTTCCATCACAAAATTGTAAAAATTATTACTGTAACTAAATTTGTATTACTGCCAGTTTGCGCGCAGTGCTTCAGTACAAATTTTAAATTTTCGAAAAATACAGTTTGTTTTTTCTTTATAAAACAAATTCTTATACACTATTAGTAAAATAAATCAAGGACAATAATCATATATGTATAGAGATAACACACTGAAAATTTCATATATATAGAACCATAAAAATTTGACTTATGTAAACTCGAAAATCAGTCTAAATTTTCACTTTTTGTGTTGTGCAAAAGTGATGACTCACCTTAAGCATACATATTCAATTCTATATTGCAAGGTATCCTAATTATCACTGCCTTTCACTCAATTTGTTTTACCATGAATGTTTTCATGGACATAATCATGAATCATTTTAATGTATTTATATGATTTTGTATTAATTTTATCCCTAGTTGAATTCCATGTATGCAAGTCTAAATTTTAGTTTGATTTCACCTTAAGTATGGTGCATTCTAACTTTATTAGGTTTTTATGCTGTAATATGGTTATTACAGCAACCATTCTTGTTCAGCAAAAAATTTAACTGAACAAGAATATATCTGTGTCAATGTTAAAAGTGTTTAAAAACTATATGAAAATCAAAGCTAATATTGTTTCAGAAGTTTAAGTGAATTCTAATTTAGCAAATAATTCAGTTATACATTGCAATTCATAGAATACGTATAATCAATTATACAAACAAGTATAATGTTCATAGTTTTTCTGTGATATTTTGCAAATCGACGAATTATTATTTTGATAAAAGTAAAAGACTTTACCAGAATTTATTATGGAAACTCAATCAGCAAGAATTACTGTAGGTGACTATGTAGTATATTAAGATTTCTTTAATGTTAGGCATTTTATTTCATTTTTCAAACTTTCTTTCTATTTCTTGATGTTTAATTAAAGTTTTTTTGATGAATTTTAGAGTGATAATCAGAAGCATTTTCTAACACCATCAGAAGAGCGATTACTTTACAAACATTATGAATCCATTTTGTTAAAATTTTGTCAAAAATTTCAACCACCAATGCCTAAAAATGTTATAGTAAGTTATGATGTTCTTTTTATACTATGAAATATGAAAATTAGATGTATTGAAATTTGTTTCTTAAACTAAATATATTTGTTAAACTTTTATATAATTGTAAAATGTTTATTGTGAAAGCTATTTGTGTGGTACTATCTAAAAAAAAAAATTTTTTTTTTTAAACAGGGCTGTTCATTTCATTATTTTAAGCGTTTTTATTTGAATAACTCAGTGATGGATTTTCACCCAAAAGATATCGTGTAAGTATCAAAACTATGAATTCTTATTTTTAGCTTTTCCATTTGTATTATTAAAAAATTATTTGAGTGATCAATAAACCTTCCAGTAGCAGGTGCCAACTGGACCAGTCCTTTTGTCCACTAAAAAAGTGGGCTATGTCTGGAAATTAATATTTTTATGCCTAAATGATTTTTAAATTACTCTAATGAAATTTTAACAAAACAAGCAACACACACAATATATTATATATATAGATATAGATATCTGTGTGTGTGTGTATACTATAAAAGTAATTGTGAGCAAATAAATTTGAACAGGAATAAATGAAATACAAAGTAAAAGAGCTATAGCATGGCATATGCAGCTAGATATGGCATAGTTTTTTAGAGCATCCAGTGTACTTCCTTTGTTATGTAGTACATTACTTGTGTCACTAGTTTCTAGACTGGATATCTTTTTCACACTATTTTTTTTTCCCCTTTTTTGTATGAAAATTTCTATTTAGTTCTTCCATTTGTAAATTTTTACTAGTTGCTATGCATTCTTCTATTCTTGTGCTAAAAGTTTCAACTATGGGAGAGATCTCTTTATTAACTTGATTTTATTTATTTATTTATTGTCATTATCACTGGTCTATGTTAAATTAATTTGGAAAATCCTGCCTTCTGAAAATTGTTTTGAAGTCACCATGAGCTAGCATTTTTCAGAGCTTCTAATATCCAGCAAGTAACATAGAATGGACATGGATTTAACTGATCCTTTGCTGTTCAAGCAAGTACAAATTTTTAATAAAATATAATGCAGTAGAAGTCTTCCTTACATGATCTTGAATGTGGGAATTAATCCTGATGTAACAGAAGGCACTCTGATATAGTATTCTTATTTTTACATTTTTTATTTGAACTGTATGTTTATGCAATGCAGTATTATCAATTATAAGTAAAGCATTTGATATTCTCCAATCAAATTCAATCTGCCTTTTCATTATTATTTTAGATATCCAAGCCCGACTTTTTGGCTTTTCATTGCATATTATATTTAGAAGGATTCTCAAAGTGCTGTGATTTTTTGTCTTGTATTTTTTCCAAAATTCAGTTTCAGAAATTACAGAATGACATCAATCTTTTTTCAAAGGTTTTTGCTCAATACATTTTTTATTTTTAAGTAGATTTTTTTTGGGGGGGGGAAGCAGTATTGCAGAATAGAGATGGGTTTCATCCTAATTGTGTCTTTAGCAAGAAAATTTGAGTATAAACTTTTAAATATAATTTTTTTCCATTCTATCATCATTTACTGATTTAGCTCTGCTGAAAATTAATTTAAGTGGCAATGGAGGGGTAAAATTTTTCAAGAAAATTTTCTAAAGCTTTGAAATCAAATTTTCTCAATTATTCAACAGCTAGTCTAGTTTTTTATTACAACAAAAGTCCACTAAAAGGAAATACTGTTTGCAAGTGAAGAACAAAAGCAATTGAAGATATCTGATGTTCATGTCATCAGTTGTACTGTTTTTGTATTTTTGTTGCTGTAGCAAATCCAGATTTTCTTTACTTCTATGTTTTTATACAACAATACTTCTATGTTTTTATACTATTGAAAAGATGAGTGCAATTCTCATCTTTTCAATTAAAAATCATTCTGAGAATATTTGTTTATATAAATTAGCTTTGTCTTTTTCTGAAGCATTCTAATGCATATATATATATTTTTTTTTCCTTCATATTTATCTTTTGCATTTTGAAGCCATGGCAAATAATCTAACTATAGACCATACAACCTGAAGGTTTTGTTATCGACGTTCCTTTTTACCAGAAAAATTGGGAAAAATTGCAAAATAAGGAATGATTAGGGGAATAAAAAAATACAGATTCTTCTTTAAAGTAATAAAACATTCGTATTTTAAATAGTAACTATTATTTCAGATATCCAAGTAAAAAAAAAAATTACACCTCATAAAATGAAAGAAATATTATAATTTTTTTCTTTTTAGTACTATATTGTCAGGAAAAATTAAAAGAACAATTGTAAAATTGTGTAACTTGAATGATTTTGCAGTCAAGAACATAGAACATGCATAAGATCTTAAATTTATCATACATGATATATCTTCAAAATGTAGAATTGTCTATTTGTTCAAAAAATAAATTTAAATGAGAACATAATGTGAACATAATTAAATGTGACATAAAGTGGGATAGGGAAAAATAGTACAGTCAAAAGTCATTAATCCGGACACCCATAATCCAGAATGATCTGTAATCCGGACCTCAAAGCTACAAACTTTCTGAGCATGCGTCAATGCATAATGCGTTGACGCATGCACATAATACCTTTACGAATGTGCATATGCGTGTGCGCATGTGCATAATATGTTTACGCATGCGCGTTTAATGTATAACAGACAGTATAAGCTAAGCTAAAATTATCTAATTATCTATTTCAGTTAATGTTGCAGATTGCGTTGTTCCTTAATCTTCGAATTGGATCCGGCGTATTATTTTTTGCAGACTTTTAGAGCAATTTTATAAAAGTAGGTTGGAACTTTTGATTATGTCAAATAGAATTTCCGATGCTGGAGCTGCAAAAGGATCTACAAAGGGAAAGCATGTTTCGATGTCCATCAAACAAAAAGTGGAATTGTTGCAAAAAATGGATAAAGGCTCCTTTGTTTCTTTAACCATTCCAAATCTGTTTATCAATTTCACACTGTTCTGCGCGGGGGGGGGACGTTGCTGTGCGCAATGAACTGGAAGTTGATTTATCAGTACTATCCTTTTCTTCAGGGCAGATGTTTTTATTTTATTCGGTGCATAATTCCTTACTAAATGTAGTATTTCATCTCGATGTACTCCATCTTTGATATGATTTAAATCAAATTCCTCGTCATTATGAATATCGCGAATACAAATCAAATAATTTTCTGGTTGCAATTTTCTAATTTTGACTATGCGTAATGTATGCTTTACGCACGCCCGCGTTGAAAGAGATGTTTAATAAAGTAAACAAATAAATATTAAGCTTTTTTTTTTTTTTTTTTTTTTTTGTAAATTTTGATGCCCTTTAGATCACAATTGCTTTTTATTTCATAAATTACGGTTTCATATTTTTAATTTTATAATTTCTGCATGCCATCTTATCAGATTTAAATTGATGATCTATAATCCGGAATCGTCGAAGTCTCGACGGGTCCGGATTAAAGACTTTTGACTGTATTAGATTGACCAGAATTTCCTGTAGTAATTAAGTGTATTCATAAGTATTGCCTTTGAAACTTCTTAAGAGTGCTAGGCAGGAGCTGCAGTGATGCAAGTCAGTGTGGAAGTGCATCCCACATACGTTTTGTTACATTTAAATTGGGAAAATATGTGGCCCACTCTATCTACTGGATTCTTTCAATCTCAAAATAATTAATCACTAGTGCAGGACAATGAGAATGGGATTTATTGATCCTTAAGAGGAAATTATTTTGAACTTTATTAACTTAAGGGTAAAAAAAAAAAACTGTGACTGTATATTTCAGCATTTATAATTGCACTGCTAAAAATTTGTTAGTTAGTGTGGCCATTTAAGTTTCTATTTATATAATAATTCCACACCCTCTGTACTAATGCCTGTCATTGATGTGTTCAGGCATACTACATGTGTTTTGCTGTGTTCAGATTGCAACATGTCTGTAATCACTCTCCAAATAAAAATGGGAATTGTCAGTAAAGACCTCAGCTTCAATCTGAGGTACTCCAATTATGGTTGTCTCTGTATCACTGCAACAGGTGCATTTTACAGCCCAAGTTAATGAAATACAATTAATGTTTCTTTACATACATTCACACATCATTTTTGTTATATCTGAATAGTCAAGTTGCCTATAGTTGTAGTGAAGCCTTTGCAATCTGGGCTGATGTCATTTGCCTATTTCTTTTAGCATATGTGTCCAAATAATAGTCATGGGAATCCATTGTGATATATTTTCAGCCTTGATGTGGTTGCCTGCATACATCAAAAGAGTCTTTAAACCATTTCTAGATTCTTAACATGATGCTCTTAGCTACTTTTAGGTCTTATTAATGTGTAAGTGTCTGCCTGCTTTCATTCATCCAACTGCATGCTGTTTCTCACAGCTTAACTGATAATTTTTCAATGACTTGTTCCACTTCCCATATGCAAAATTTTATCCATTTACTCATACAAGTCTTGAAATTAGAATTAGAAGCACTCTCTTGCTCTCCATTCCACATGTGCTAAAAGAACTGGCATAAAAATTTGTATATTTCTGTATAGCAAACTACTATACAGAAACCTTAATAGTGCTTGATAAAATGGGCCTTGAGCTACCAGCCTGGTTTCCTTTTTTTGCCTTTCGTTGGACTTCATTTAATAGAGTCAACATAAAACACCTTTTTATTTGTTGTTCCTTTATTTTTTTTCCTCCAGTTTATTTTATCACATACCTGATCCAATTTTATTAATCCATACTTTTTGTTCTCTACACCTGTTGCTCAACCGTGGCTGAGCAAAAAAGTTGCTGAAAACTGGTAATTCAAGGTTCGATTCCAGGAAACTGGCTGGCTGCATGGGCGTTTTCATAGTTTTCCCCATGTGTAATGTAGATATGAGCATGTTTCCAATAGAAAGTTTACCATGAAGGCATCTCTGCCATTAGCCAGATAGCTTTAGCTTGCTTTGGCGTAATTGAATAAACATAACCAAACCTCTGCACCTGTTAGTGAGATATTTGTTCATCCTTCTCTTTAGAAGCATAACAGTTCTGTTAGCCTTCTCATTGAGCAGAATGTTTGTCCTTCAAAAATAATGTAATTTAGATATCACCATAGTATGTTTTTTATGTTATAATAAATTATACAATTAACCAAGCATTTTGTTTCTTCAATTCCACTTTTGTTCTCAATTCCTCAATTTTATTTTCAGATATCATAAGAATAATACTAAATATTGAGTGTTTTAGATCAGCATTTCTCAAATGGTTGTCTCTGCAGCTTGTTCTTGTGATCCTCTTAGATTT